CAAGGCGGTACCATCCATTTACAAAAATTTACAAATTAGTTAGTATGTCTTTAATATTCCAAAAATCCTCCACCCTATATATGTCATGCCTCAAAATCAAGGACGAAAATAATGAAATCACCTTTCCTTGATCTTAGATATCTCACTCTCATTACCCACAAAAGCCGTATTGTTCATTTCTTTGCGAATCACCCAGACAATAGTAAGTGGTATAAGCGTTATAAATTGTCTTTTCTCACATACCTTACCAAGCCCAAATCTGTTCCCTCACTGAACCCGCAATAACCCAGTTTATTTCTACAGCCTGTAGATCATCTTAGTTCATAAGCCATCGTGCATCAAAGAAGAATATGATTACATGAAAGGATTATAGATAGAAATAGAAAGGATTGTATTTCCATGTAATCTAGAGTTTATTGTAATAGTGTGGGATAATACTAAATCTTTTGTAGTATTGGGATTTGTTTATTGTTTATATTCTTTTAAGCTACAAGTTTTCCTATTATAATTCTTCAATTATTATAGTTATATTTGGATTTTGTATTTAATTTGTGAAAATTTTTTGTCATTTCACTTTTGAGATCAATCCACAAGTCAACAAATTTATCTGTAAGATTTTCTCTATACCTCAGTGTGCATGATGCAATCAAATTTTAACATGATGTGTAAGAGCCTCTTAAGTATGAGGTCTAGGTTTCTCTCAAATCCCTGAATCAGCAAATTAATGCTTTACATGACAAAGCAAAACTTCTTTGAACTTCTTGGTAAAAAAGTTTTTGTATGGAATTGTGGGTTATTTGAGAACCTTTTATATTAGTCTCCTTCCTAAGTGAAATGAGCAGTGGATAATATTTCTTTCAAGTCGTCCATGATTGCTGAATGTAATAATGATTAGTAAGCATTTTCAAAAAAGAAAAAAAATGATTAATAAGGTTGTAATAATGTTATTAAATGATGCTAATTAAAATGTGGTGTGGTATGCTTAGACGGGTCAGCTTATAATTTTGAGAGACTGAATAACTGGATATAAGTGCAATCACAAGCATGAAATCAAGTGATGGTTGACTGACTAGAGATAATGGTGGGATTGGAAGAATGCTACTTAGCTCTATTTGGCTCAGGAACAGCATTGCCTGCTTCAAATGGCATTAGTTTTCAACTATAATCTTTACTATGATACTTACATTAAAAGCAAATCTCATTTGCATCCCTTACTTTGGACCTTTTCATCATTGCCCTTCCTAGCATTTGAGTTCAAGTGAAATATCATAATTTACTAATTTTTTTTTTATTATGTGCTCTGCAAATCTGGTTTTAAAAAGCAGCAAAATGTCAGACATTGAATTTGAGTGGATCTATGAAAGGGAAAATTAGCAGTTTCAACACAGCTTTGATATGGCTGGTGTTACATTTTCTAACTGGGTTGGGAGAGAACTTAATTGGAACAATTTGCAAATTCTCGTACCTAACTTGGTAAATAATGAAAAACTATGATATAAATACATGGGGGGGAATTTTAGGAATAGAACATAGAAGCTAGGGTAGCTGTTCCAAATTTCAAATTTTTATTTGTCTGGTTGCTGCACTTTTTCTCTGTTGCTTCTTTTTCAGCTTCTTTCAAATGATAGGTTAACAATAATAAATTTAAGGTGGGACCCTGGTGACACAGGTTTCTGCTAATTTCTTCTATCTTTTTGCTACATTATTGAAGGGATAAGGTGCTTTGATTAATTTGTGGTGCTTTCACTAATATATTTAACATATTCTTTCAGAGATCTAAAGAAAAGGAAGGACTAAAAGGTAAATGGAGTTCTTCTGTACTAGTTGCCATTCACCAAAATGAGGGTTCTTGCATATTTTTTTTTAAATACTATTTTTTTCTTTTGTAGAGAAGGGAGCAGGTTCCTCAAAGGATGTGGAAAAGGTATCTAAAATAGGAAGGAAGAAAGAGACTGTGTCCTCGCATGCGGACAAAGGAAAAGCAAGTAATGATCCAAAAGGAAATGCAGCTGATGGAAAGGTTGATGAGAATGAAAAAAAGTGTGATAAGAAAGATTGTGATGGAAATGAGAAGAAGGTTGAGAAGATAAATTGTGATGGAAATGGAAAGAAGCTTGAGAAGAAAGGTAGTGATGAAAATGAAAAGAAGTATGAGAAGGGAGATGGTAATGGAAATGGAACGAAGATTGAGAAGAAAGATGGTGATGGAACTGTTGAGGAAGGAAAGGATTCTCAAAAGGAGCCAGGAGAAGCGGCCGGTGGTCAGACACCTCGTACAAGAACTGTGAAGAAGAGGATTATAAAAAGGATTATCAAAAAGCCAGCTAGTGCAGAGACTAATTCCGGCAAGCAAAATGACAATTTAGAAGAGAAGGATGTTGGTGAGCAGAATCCAGAGTCTGGCGTCCCAGGCCAACAGGAAGAACCAGTATCCGATTCATCTGGGGTTAAAACATTTTCAAGAAAAAAGGTCATAAAAAAGGTTCCAGTGGCAAACACTGCCCAGAATGAAGAAAAGGACACACAGCTTGAGGTGAAATCTGAGAAGGAAGCAGATACCTCTGAAGATAAGACAAACAATAAATCAGATAATGGAGGTGCTGCAATTGGGAAAGATCCTGTAAAAGCAACCATAAAAAGGAAAATCATTAAGAGGGTACCTAAAAGGAAGAATGCTGCTGCTGTGGGCAATGATGGGGTTGCTGACTGTAAGAAGGAGGGGGATGAGGATGACAAAAAGTTAGTGAGAACAGATACTGGAGCAGACAATAGTGGAAAGGAAGTGGCTGATGCAGATAAAATTAAGTTGAACACTCCAACTGAGGATAAAAAAGAGAATATAGCTGATTCAAGTAAAACTGAAATCGAGGCCAGCCTAGTGGACAAGGATCGAGAGAGAAATGGTACTGAGACCAAGGCTGACAGCAAGAAGGTTAATCAGAAGGATAATAATGGAAAGAAGGGAAAGGCAAAAGACAATGATAAACGGAAGAAAGACAAGGATGGAAAAGATGAGTTAGGGAATAAAGAGGTGATTGAGAAGAAAAAGATTGAAGAGCCTCCTCGTCACCCTGGATTTGTTTTACAAACAAAATGGAGCAAAGATTCTAAAGTAAGAGCTTGAACTCCTGTTATTATATCCTAAAAAGTTGCAGGAAATATACTATTCTGCTTATGCAATTGTCTAAATTGGAAGTTGGTTTTTGCAGTTGCGGTCCTTGTCACTTTCACTTGACTCGCTCTTGGATTATACTGATAAGGATACTGAAGAATCAACATTTGAGGTTTGTTTATCTTTCTGCCTTTCTGCACTCCCTATAGGGAACTTGTATATTCCCTGCTTCAGGGTCTTCTTATGGGTCAATTGATCATGAAATCTGAAATGCAGATAATAGTTTCTTATTTTCTTCCTTTCCTTCTTTAGGAAAGTATTGAACAATCTCCTTCTGCCCATTCCTTCATTATTTCCAGCTACATTTATTGCAACCTTTTCGATAGAAACAGTTTCCTCAAGACTAGGAACCGCCTATATACTAGTAACTTATAAATTCAACCAAAACTACCTTCCATAACTTATGCACACTTGTCAGAATATGGATTCTACACAAACCCTGATAACGATGTAACAGAATAGGTATTCCATACCTATCCATAACTTAACATACACTTGTCCAACTGCAGATCTACGAAACCCAGATAACTACATAACGAAATTTAGGGCCGTTCTATGATGCCCGCCATCAAATGCCTACATCTATCTTTACCCTTTAATCAAATTAAAAAAGATCACAACCTTTTGAAAAATAATTTATTATTTATTTTTCATTTTTTCTCAAATACATGCCTTGGAGGCGAAATGCCTGCAAAGGCATTCTAAACCTGTCCGTAACTAATGGATACTTGTCAGAATATGGATCCTACTAATCAGACAACAGTCTGAATATAGCATTAAACCTAAACTGGTTTATATCCTTCTGATCAGTATGTTCAAAACCCTAGAATTTAATTCTTCTCCCTCCTTTGAAATACCATCTCAAATGGTTTAATGCCATGGCTTGTAAAAGATATCTTTTTGATTATCTAAAATCCTTTTTTTTTATAAACTGATTCTCTTTTATAAATACATTCTCAAATTCCTCATCACATTTTGAAGCAAATTAGCTTTGACTCTTTTAGTGACTATAAACCTACTACTTTGCAGCTTTCGTTGTTTGCAGAGACACTATATGAGATGCTTCAATATCAAATGGGTTGTCGCCTTTTGGATTTGCTCCAGGTTAGTTTGCAATTTTTGATCCGGGTGATGTAGAAACTATATGTATAAATTTTCTGAGGAATTTTGTTGATACTTCTTTTTTATCCGGGGGATGTAGAAACTGCGAATAAGATTCAGGAGAAAAAGAAACAAAAATAAGAGGCATCATGAAGAAATTCATAAGGACAATACCGAGAAATCAACACCAAAGCGTCTAAAGACTGATGAACTTCCTTCCAAGGATAATGCTGTAAAATCTGAAACTCCGGCTGCAGCTCAACCGGCTGATGAAGAAAACATGCCAGAAGATAATGCTCCTGTTGATCATGTTGATGAGGTGAAGTCAAAAAATGATACAGAGGATGAAGAAGATCCAGAGGAAGATCCTGAAGAATATGAAGAAATGGAGGATGCCAGTATGCGGCATGACTCTTCTAAGGAGGTAGGATGTACTGGTTCAGTATGTACTTGTCAAATGTATGTTATTTTTCATGGGCATTTGCCAGCCATATCAACACATAATTTTCTTTACTTATTTGCACCTTAATTTGGTTGTTTATGATTAAGTTTATTTATTCATTGCAGTTCTATGGTATGACAATTTATGCATATTGCTAATCTCTTATTGTAGAGCAATGAAGGGGAAAAGATGGATGTCAGTGTTGAGCCTGCAAAGGCCGTGGAAGAAAAGGATGAAGCAGGGGAATCTGTCAAGGAGACAACTAACACTGAAGTTGCGAAAGAAAACCTCACACCTGATGTAAGCACCAGTGAGAAAATGAAAGGAAGTTCTGACATAGAGAAAAAAGAGGCTTCTGTAGATAAGGAACTATTACAAGTATGTTTCCAGAAACTTCATGCATTCTCTCCTCAATACGGCATTATTTCCCTTGCTTACTGATGCAAACGTTTCTTTACTATACAGGCTTTTAGATTTTTCGACCGGAACCATGTTGGTTACATTAGGGTAAGATGAATATCCTCAGTTTGCTTAATTTTATCTTGTATTGAGTAACTACAAGTGTACTGGGTTTTTAGGTTGAAGATATGAGATTAATTATCCACAACTTGGGGAAGTTTCTCTCTCACCGGGAAGTCAAGGTGAGACTTTTAGTAAAACCATTTCTCATTAATATTTTCTTTTTGTAACCTCCGCCCTTCTATTAGAACTCCAGCTGTGGTTACTTATATTTTTGTTGCACCAGGAACTTGTGCAAAGTGCGCTGTTAGAGAGCAATACTGGAAGGGATGATCGCATTCTTTACAACAAGTTGGTGAGGATGCCTGAGGTTGAAGGTTAAAGGTTAAAGGTCTTGGACGAAAGCTTGTAGTTGGAAGTGTGGTTTTAAGATTTATAATTATGGAATTTTAACGGGATAAATAAGGTTTCTAGTAGTGGATTGGAATTTGGTATCTTTAATAGAAAATCTCACTGGATTTGTTCATTTCGATAAATAAAAATTTCTCTTTCTTATTGGTTGATCTATTAAATGGAAAATATTGAGTTTGCATGCAATGGTAAATATGCAATTATGCTAGTATTCTGATTTTTAGATCTTATAGAACAGGGCACTGTACTATCCACCCAAAAAAAAAAAACAAAACAAAAGTAAAAACTGCGGACTCAAACTATAGTTATCTTTTGCTATTCTATTCTATCTCCGGTCAAATGCTATTGTTAATATCGATTAGTAACTGATTTTACTGATTGATGAACAGCTATTTTTCACTTTTAAACTATAATTATCTTTAATATCTTATTTTGAAAATTAAGAAGATGCAATGTTAAGATCAAGAAGTTGGGAATAAAGGACAAGAACCCGATTTATGTTTTGTTTGGAGCTGTTTCTCTGTTACAGTTTTCTCTTTTGAGAGTTAACATTTCGTAAGTACTTTATTTTCTATTTGTAGGTTATTTACTTTTTTAAATAAATGAAGTAAAAAAAAAACAAAAAGACTTATGTCTATTTAGGAAGAAGGTAAATCAGTGAGATTTTATAGGAAAATATTTAAGAAATGTCACTACTTGGGAAACTGATCATGGAGAAAATTATAGTGAATCAAGTCTCTTTGGCTAGTAAAAAAGGAATGGGATTTTATTTAGAAAAAGAACCCGAATAGTATACTTGAATATATTGGTGTGGTTGTTGACAAGCTTCCGAGGGCCAAACCAAATTTGTTTTTTTGAGTGTGCAAATTTTGTTGTATCAATCAATGGAGTACGATTGGGAGAGAGGAGGTGAAGGGAGTTTCTTTGATCAACTTGAGCAATTACCCTACATGTTGTTTGCGTACGACACCCCTACAATTCCCATGCACTATTATTACATCCCACAACCCACTCAACCTACAGAACACGAATCTCACATTGCCTTTGCTGCCCCTGATGCTGCCACAACTTCCTCCGTGCCTGTTTCTGCTGCTGCTGCCCCTGCCCCTGCTGCCGCAACCTCCTCCGTGCCTGTCTCTGCTGTTGCTGCTCCTGCCTCTGCTGCCGGAACTTCCTCTGTACCTGTCTCTGCTGCTGCTGCTGCTGCCCCTGCGTCTGCTGCAGCAACCTCCTCCACCCCTGTCTCTGCCCCTGCTCGTATCCTTGACGCTGTCCTTGTTGCCCCTGCCTCTGTCTCTGCTATAGCCCCTGCCTCTGCCCCTGCTCCTGGTTCCAGCACCCTCTTCCGTGGAACCGAAAAGACTTGGCTTGGTTCTTGTCCTTGTTGTTGTTGTGGGTCTTATTGTGGGTGTGTTTGTCTTTCTACTTAATAAGAGAAACACATTTTCTCATGTCTTATGGTCGATGGAGGACAACACAATCACACAAATTTAGGTTTTTAGTATATCATCGTTATTGTTTTTCGTTTAATTGTTTAATGCATTGGTCTTCAGTCAAATAAAATAGTACTATTTGCTTAATTTAGATTCCTTTTTTTTTTTTTTTTTTTCAAATAATCGAAACTTTATTATGACAGATAATTAACTTTGCTTTTAATTTAGTTTCATTTAATTTAATAGGATAGAAATGTAAGTAAAAATAGTTAATTCCATGTTTGATTTGAAATAAGAGTTTTTCTAATTCATCATGTAACGAATAAAAATAAAAATGCATGGATTATAAAATTAGTAAGATTATTTTAGTGATGTAATAGACATATAAGTTACAGTTAAACATATAATTATATATTATATAATTAAAAATTGCTCAATATTGCCCTGATTTTTGTTTATTCCTTATTTACTTATATTAGTTAAAATATAAGTTATTGTGTAAAATTATATTTTTAATCTCACTTTTAGATTTTTTTAGTGTTGAAATTTTGAAATAATTTTTCAACCATAAAAAAACTCAAGAGACTGATGAAATCTAAACGCCTGAGTAGTCGACTTCTCAGGTTGCGGTTCAACCTGCTACTCAGTTTTGTGATAATAAACAAAAATATTTTTCTAAAAAGTGTTCCAATTTTTTTTGTTTTGTATTTATGTCAATCTGTAGGTATAAAATATATCATATTTATAGAGATATACAGAATTTCAAATCACAATTTTTTCTATACAGTTTTCGTCATAATATATTTTATGCTTACGAGCATTTGTCTTAGCCTTAAATTAATCAAGAATCAAACCATACATTGTTACTGATTATATAGTCTTCTATATCTCATCTTCACTAACCCTAATATAACCTACTTAATACATATCATGAGATAGTTTATAATCACTAATATAACTACAAAAATTAAATGTATTTTGTAATTAAATAAAAATAAGTTGCTTGAGTATTTGACTAGATTTATTTTAATTATATCCAAGTGAATTACAATTTATTAACAGGTTTTAAGATTTAGTCATGACTCATAATATATGTAATTTACTTATATAAAATATGAGTATCGCTGAATCAAATGAAACTATAAGATTCCAATAGTGAAATGTAAAATTCTAACTAGATGAAATTATGAAGCTAATTATTTAAGATGTATAATCTGTTCATTACTCCATATAATGTTTATTAATTTATTTTATTGTAACGATAAACTTATAATAAAATATATGTTATTCTGCATACCGAACACCTGATAATATAGAAACACAGTTTATATTAAATTGTTAGAGTAAAATACAACAATGATTTTGTAAAAGCAAAATAAAATAAAATTAAAAGTGCCTAGCAAAGCCGGTATTTGTATTCAGATAGTTCCATTCCCACAAGTTGAATTTGCAGCATACCCATACGAAATGGCAATTTCTTTGCTTCTTATCTTCACCCTTCCATTCCACAACTTTTATATTTATGATAAATTTGATCAAATAAGTTTACATTAAACCCATTGGTTTCTTTATTATCCTAAGACAGCTTACCTACAATCATTTCCTGATTCAATAATTTGGTAGAATGAAAACCCACCAACCTTTCTTCTTGATCTGCACACAGCCATGTCCAACTAAATGTCTATCCATCTTCCACTGATTTTGATTTGAGTGTCCCAGAAAATCTCTATCGCAATTCTAAATGGAATCCCTGGAACCCTGATGCCATCTAATGGCAATGGGGCTCTTTACTAAATTAACCCCATCGCTCCACTCGATCGACCCAAAAGAATTGTCTGAGCTACCATCCAACAGAATACTCTTGAACGTAATCTCATATGACAAACTTTGTTTCTCAGTACTGAACACAAGCTTAGTCGGCTTCACATCAATTTCAACATTCACAGGAGCATTCACTTTAACCTCATAAACTGCATCAGCTGAACTCCCCACATTCTTCACCACCCTCTTGTATGTTACAACATTATCACTTGATTTGAAAACCACAGAGAATGAGGGGTAGTTCAGGTTTCCAGGAGTATCTAAGCTTTTAGTTTCGCATATACTCGAATTTATAGGCTTTCTAAGAAATATGGAGATTTGGGAAGAGCTATAACCAATGGAACAGAGAAAAGCAACATAGTCATTCACATCAAGATCATAAACTAGTCCTGGATTAAGAGCTCTATTGGGATCTACATGACCAGCACCATGAATATAAGATGTTGATTCTTTACCAGTAGCAAGATCTTTTATGTTCTTTCCTGAGTTATCTAAAGTATAAGCTGTAGTCATCAAAGCAGACTTGATAGCAGCAGGGGACCAATTGGGATATGCTTTTATAAGAAGAGCAGCTAATCCACTAACATGGGGACAAGACATGGAAGTACCTGAGATTATGTTGAACTCAACCCTCCTAGGATCAATGTCCAAGTCTGTTGGTCCAGTGGATCCAGTCCACCCAGCCAAGATGTTAACTCCGGGAGCAATAACATCGGGTTTCAGAATCTCCGGTGTCAAATGGTTCGGACCACGGCTGGAGAAGGCTGCAACCTTGGGAGACGGTGGTGAAGATCCAATCTCCGTGCCATGGAACACAATTGTTGCAGTAGGAAACTGATTTATCTTGATATACTCTTTAATCTTATTCCCTGCAATCTCACCCACCATTGTTGCTGGTATAAGATGGGAATCAGCTATCAGTTCTTCACCACTCTCTGCAGTATTTGCAAGTATCAACCCTAACCCACCAGCAAGCTTCACTGCACTTCCTTTCTCCACTCTAGCATTCCCTCCTCTATCACAGACAACAATCTTCCCTTGAACTTTTGATGGGCTTAAGCTCCCCATATAGCAATATCTATTTCCACAATCACCTGCATACACCAATGGGAGCTTATAATCAACCAATCCCTCCCCAGAGTACAACGACACGCCATTAAAGATTCTTCCATCACCAAGAACTGCATCAGCTGGAAACTCTCTGTCAATCGTCGAAGCACCGACTGTTATAATCCATGGAGCAATATTGACGGCCGTGTAGGGACCAGGACCAGAGTTGCCGGCGGAGCAGGAAACGAGAATCCCATGTTGGACCGCACCAAATGCTCCAATGGCAATAGAGTCATGATAGTACTGAGGAGCATAACCAGTGGCACCTACTGACAGAGAAATGACATGAACACCGTCTGCAATTGCTTGGTCCATTGCAGCCAGTATGTCAGAATCGTAACAGCCCGAACTCCAACAGATTTTATAAGCAGCAATCCTAGCTTTCGTCGCCATACCGCGAGCTTCTCCATATGCATACTGGAAGAAGCTTGCGTTGGACACCACAGATCCGGCCGCAGTCGACGCTGTATGTGTCCCGTGACCTTCAGTATCCCGCGGCGACTTCGATTCTTTGGTTTCGTCAATGGATCCGTCCAAATGCGCCTCGTAGCCTTTGTAAAAAGGCCTAGCACCGATGATCTTCCGATTGCAAGCCGAAGCAGGAAAATCAGGCCCTGTCTCGCACTCCCCTTTCCAGTTCGCCGGAACAGGAGACAGTCCGGAATCGGAGAAACTCGGACGTTCGGGCCATATTCCGGTGTCGAGGACACCAACGATGACGCCATCTCCATAATAAGAATTCTCCCAGAGTCCGACACCATCGGCGAGGCCTAAAAAGTGAGGAGTACGTGTGGTGTGAATCTGACGCGCCTGGTCGGGGAGGACGGAGAGGATTCCAGGAATGTCCCGTAGTTTGGCAGCTTGAAGAGGAGTAAGACGAGCTGAGAAGCCATTGGTGGCCCGGTGGTAAGTGTAAAGGATGGAAGCGGGAGGAGAAGAGGGAGGAAGAGATTGGATGATGGAAGAGTACCAGTGGTGGTGGGAGGAGAATAGTGAGGGCTTGCGTGATGCGGAGACGTGGACGACGAAAGTGTGTGGAAGGTCAGATGATAAGAGAGTTGAAGGAAGGAGGAAAATGGAGAGGAAGAAGAGGAAGAAGACAGAGGAAATAGCCATTGGTGATCTGTGTTTGGTTCCTCAGAAATTGGAGGAAAAAATCAGTTGGATGAGATGAGAATTAGAAGATAAAAACAGAAGAAGAGCGGGTTGTCCACGTCAGCTGCTTATAATTAATTTGATATAATATTATTGAACCAATGAGTGTGCGCCAAGAGCCATCACGCTTTTATGAACAAAACGACAAAACCCAATTTGGTAAGACCAAAAAAATGTTGTGATACATCAGAAAATTTCCATACGTTGTCTGCGTAATTTATAAATCAGAGTTTAAATCTAAATAAAAATTTAAAATTTAATTATTGTTGATGGAAAATAAAATTTTATTTCAATAAATTATTACTATTATCATAAAATAAATATTTTTTGTTCTACATAATTTTTTTTTTAAATTATAATGGTTATAACGAGGTATCATATAAATAATTTTTTTCTTTTTTAAAAAAAAACAAGCAAAACAAAATTGTACATTTCATTGTAGTTATTAAATTTAAATTATTATAATGATATTAATAATTTTTTTAAAATTACAAAGCTATGTATTATGTTAGACGTATACGTTAATATTAATAAATAAAAGCTAAAATTCAGTTATCAAATTAGATATATAAAAAAAATATTAATTTAGTTTGTTTCAAATACTAGTATTTTTTTTTTAATTAAAATGAACATTTAAAACAAATAAAAAATTATAATAAATAAAAATAAATCACAAACACCAGTATCAATCAGAAACTTGCATATCTTTAACCTTTCATGGAACTTATCAAAATATTTTTGCAAAACAACATTAAACTGTAACAACCAAGCCGATAATTAAGAAAATACTGTAACTAATGAAGCTAAGATTATAGACAACATGGTTTACAACAGTTTTTCCCACAATTCACCTCTGTACATTTTCTAAACACTGATTTCAAACAGCAGCAGCCACAATGGGGGCAAGACACACTTGTCCATTTGCAGCAGCACCAGCATTTCGAGTTCAATGGTAAACACCAGTTGCACATTTCTACTTTACACTGGGAACAGCTAAAGCAGCAGATCCTTCCGAATTTCAAACAAATTCTCGCCCTGCTCAGCAGTAATACCAAAAGATTAATGCTTTAATCTTGCCTTAATCTCAATTTATGATGGTGATGAAGGTGCTAATAACCCAGGTATGTGATAATAGCATTTTAATCTTGTCCTAATTGCAACACTAATGACAATGTAGCTTCTAACTCGGGTTTGCAAGAGAAATGTTTTACATTTTACGATTATTCTCAATTGGGAACATGACAGATGTTTGCAACAAATTCATCTTATCTACAATATTTCACATGTAGAATCTGTAGAAATCCAAACGATTATCACTAAGGCACATCAATTTTCGTAAAGGATCATCTAGATTGACTAAGAATCATATTCGAAATAGCCTTGACACGCTTTGGTGAGACCCTATTGTGTTCCGCTCTTCCTAAATCTCAATTACTCATCATGATAAAATTTAGTCATGATTTACATATTTGATTCACTATTGAAATCAAACTTGTCTTTTACGTTAAACCTCAAAATCATTCAAATCTTAGGTCTAATTTCTGCTGCATTATGATTCGTATCATAAAGAATTGAGATTTGAAGCCAGCTGTGACTTTACCCAAATGGAAAACTAAGCAACATATGCAGAACAAAAGAGGAGATATAACATTTAATTTACGTTTAAGTACCCAAGAAATTTACCAGAGAGTTTTGCAGATAGGTTTCGATTTCGGAATCTCTTGTGTTCTGCTTCAAAACAAGTATTTGACAAAATTTTAATAAAATAAAAATTGAAATTAAGAGAAAAAAAAAAAAAAAAAAAAACCATTGAAGATTCATACATGAGAATAAAAGGATCTGGTTTCGCTCCAATGAAGTTGTCAAGTCTGTTAACACAAAATCAAGGGTGTAAGAAGCTCATTAAAATGCCTAATTAAAAAATGAGCAAGATATGGGAGTTAAACAAACTCTTTGCAGGATCTGGAAGCCGGTTGAAGCCCTTCAATTGACTTTAACTCTTCCTGCTTGCAAATTAAATCTCATGTGAGCTCATAATGTATACCGATACCTTAAAAATTGAAGTACAGAACATGGGTTTTAAAAGTGAAATTAAAGAGCATTCAACATGAAAAAATCCTACCTGAAAGTTGAAATAGAACTTGGGTGAAAAGGGTATTTACATTTAGCACAAACACAGCGATGAACATCCACATTGGTCAATCCAGATACATACATACATATATATATATATATATATAATGTCTGATGAATCCCTTCATATTTCAATACCCAATTCATAGTTTAAGCCGATGCATGTAAAAAGAAGAGGAAGAGGGTATTTATTCTGACAAACATTTCTTTGATTTCAAAAATGTATAAATTACTATTGGTTAAACTAAATTAGGAAGAAGATGAATCCGTAAAAAGCAAACAAGTAGAGAGAAGAGAGACCTGAAGCAACGCAATTTCTCTCTCGAGAACCTGAAGCTTCACCCATTGTCGTCTTTTCCCATACAAATCCAAGCTCCCAGGTGGGGACTTTGGGCTCATTGGCTGCACCACCACCCTAACCTCCATTGACGCCATACCAAACAAAACTCGGAAACTCAGATATGCAGCGTTTTGCTTTTGATTTTAACATCCTCCATTGAAGCAGAGGAATGGGTGAATGCAGAGTAGCTGACTTTAGGTTTATGATAAAAGAAAAATGAGAGCTAGTACGCTGCTGGTTTGGTGATGGTGGGGTTTTTTTTTTTTTTTTTTTTTTTTTTTTTCCAGTTGCGGGGGGAGAGGCGAAGACTACGAAGCTGATGAGTTGCAGAGCACACGTGACTGTCACATAAGGAAAGGAAGACTGTTCTAATATTCAATTTACTAATTGCCCTCTAGTTTCATTTTATCTACAAGAAATCCAATGTATGGAGTGTGTTCAAGTAGGGGTAAAAATGGTAATTCAGTATCGCTCGCGTTCGTTTCTCGGATTTGGCCTAGACAAAATGACATCACATGGAGTAGGCGGACGTGTCGAGATCCGCTGGGGCATTTTAGTAATATAGTCATCTCTATCAAAACCCCTGCCCTAGATTTATAATTTTATTTATACGATTCGTGTTAACTCGCAGTTGTAAATTATTATTTAAGAAAGTTGGTAAATAATTCAAACCTTTTATACTTAAAATTATTTAGATTTAAATTGAATAATTTATTACAGTAAGTTTTTAATTAGTTTGAACATATAATGTTTTATTTTTATATTTATTATTAAATATATTTTAATGTTATGTCCGATGCATGCAGAGTTAACGAATAAAAAAATAAATTATATAGATAATTAAAATAAATAAGGCGAAATAAATCTCATTTATAAAATCCGATAACATTTAAAAATTTTTACTATTCACCTCAAGTATGATGCATGAAATGAGGTATGCCACTCTTAATCGAGCAAGACACAAAGTAGAGTTGCGCTTTGAAGGCTGCAGTAACAGATAAAGTTATAGACAAATAAATTATTTCCCTGAAAATGAGGCAAAAGAAGAATTTGGTGAAGGTAGCGAAAAAGAAGAAGAAGAAGAAGAAGAAGAGGGGGACCCTTTGAAAAACTAGGCCACAGAAAACAGCAGAAATAAATGTGAATGCCATACCCATAGCATGGCAAATAAGTTTAAAATCAACTAAATGCAAGCTAGAAAAGAGATTGAAGTGAAGAAAGTATGTTGAAACATCAAATGGTAGTATGTATGATAATCAAGTGGCTTCATTGTGAGCCTCCATACACCTCTGACTTTAAATCTTATCAGGTTATACAGGAACAAGCTTGTGAAGGAGACCGGAGCATACCAAGAACTGATTCTCGTGGCCCAAGGGCTAAAAAGATCCAACCTGTCTAAAAGACATGAACAATAAAATTCTACCCAACTTATTGCTAAAATTAAGAGCCTAACTGTTTCCAGATATGAGAAATATCATTTCCTTTTTTTCATATTTACAAAAACTAGACATAAAGTTTTCAAATTCCTTAATCAATATAAAAGAAAGGAGTCATGTTCTAAAAATAACAGTCATCCAAAATATTTCTCCAAAAGATGTAAGACCCAGCTAGACAGACACCTGGCAAGATTATGACCGAGGAAATGATGTTCGAATACAGCAGTTGCTCTCCATCAATACGTGTTACTATCGTATACTTACAGCAAAGTATTTAACCAATAATACAGAATACAGAGATCATTACCCCCACTGGTTACAGCGTTCCTGGCCCACTAATTACAACACAACAAACTTCAACCTGTACCCAAAGAGATAAATCCCATAGCACTCATGAGCCTTGACGAAAGAAACATTAAGTAGAGTGTTACAAGGCCTATGCCCAACACCTTGTTAGGTCGCATGTCATTTTGGGGCAAAACAATAAGTGCCCATCCTAGTCTTGAAACAAGAAATCCCAGAGTGTAAAACAAGCTGCCGTCATTTGGAACTATGTATGGACCTGGTCTCTTTGACCAGGCGCCGAGCAACATTGAAATTCCCAACCCAACAAGCGTGTTGAACATGGGACCTGCATAACATCCAGACAAGGCTATCTGCACACCATCACCACCATTCATTGCCAGGGCAACATTTGACACCAAATCACCCATTGAGTTGCCCCACGCTAACACAGTCAACCCAAGGATGGATGGGTTGATTCCGTATATCTCACCAAATGTCACCAACAAAGCAACGAGCTCATTAGCAATCATGTAAAACCATATAATACTCATAAAAAATCCACCTAAGACCCAGGGAAGTAAAAATTTCCGAGGTGGGTGCTCAGATACAGTGTGCCAATATGCAAGAAGACCAAGTGTGCAACCAGCAGCAACACCAATAAAATATGCAACCGCTATAGTTTGAGAACCCATGTTTTCTTGGCTATTCCAGAGAAATGCCAGGAGGATGGGAGCCAATGAAGCACTGGAAACAGCATAAGCCTTTGACCATATTTCCTCCTCAATTAATGGTATTGTCAACCTTCTTGGCACTGTCAGTGGAATTTCTAACAATGAAATTATGTTTGAACAGAAGAGCGATGATCTCTTGCTTTCTGCATTCTCATCACTCCAGCCCCATGGAGGCCTTTCATCATTTAGATTGGGTTTCAGAAAATGGTTTGAATATATTGCCACATTTGAAGCCCACATCCACTGGGGCAGAGAACTGTGGAGACGTGGTGGATCATCTTCAGTGTCAATTTCAAGTAGAGAACTGTACATAGGAATATCATCTTCACTAGTTTGTGAAAATATACTTCCTCGCACAGGAAGCAATGGCGTAACCACATCCATTTTCAACCTCCGCATTTGTTTCCTCAGAATTTCATTTGCAGCCACGCAAAACGCATAAACCACATATATCGAGACAAAGGCAATTGCCATCCCCACGGTTACCTTACCAATGATCAAAATCATTAGCAGAGAAAGAAGTGTAAAGAGGAAGAAACTCACATCTCTTATGAAGCATTTCTTATCAACTTGAACCCTTTTCTCTGCAATAGACAGTGAAACAATCCCAACAACAACGCTAGTAACAAACACTGCACCACCCAACACGCTGTTAAGACCCACTTCACCCGTGTTTGTTCCCACAAAAGCAGCTATACTTGCAAACACATCCGGTGCTCCATTCCCTAGAGGGAGAAGGGTAACCCCTGCAACAGTAGGAGGTAACCTCAAAAGACTTGACAGCTTCTCCAGTGAACAACAAAAGTAATCTGCTGCAGTATTGCCCAATAAATAGAACAGAGCAACAAGCCAAATACCCAACACTAGATAGGCCAACAGACTGAAATCACCACAAGCACAATAGAAGAACCTGAGATAATCAAAGAATCCACCAGAGGAACATTGTGGGTGCGCTTTCAAGTATTCACATTGATTAGCGTAACCCTTATGATGAAGCAGTCCAGTGCAAAGAGCAGGACCACTCTCGTCACTTACATTATTTTGAGGAGGCCCATTAACTAAAATCGATGAATTAGTATCAAATTCACTCATCCGTCGATGAATTGAAGTAATGTGACTCGACTCATGCGAGAAAGCAGATCTCCTATAAAAACTCTCACTAGTAAATGCGGCCGATTGCCTTAAAAGAGGGTTCCTAATTACATCTTCCTGGTGGTAGAATAAAAAGACAAGAACAACAGCACATAATCCATTGAAAATCCCACGAAATTTGGGATTTTTAGCACTATACGAACAATTGAGATTCATTGCCAAATCTTACTTTCCCCAAAATACTTCGAAGAATAAAGAAATTGGCGTGAAAAGAAACAGAAGATAGAAACAAAGTCTCAACCCAGGGTTTCAGTGATGCGAAAGTGAAACCCTGGCCTCCTGAATTCGAGGGTAACGGGGAGGAGATTGTAAGGAAAGTTTGATCAGAAATTGAAGTAGAAGAAATCAAATTAAGCAAAAATTCAGGGCCTTACCAGCAATTAAGGGCATAAAAAAGCAAGGT